TTTCAATGAAAAGTGGGAAAAAGCTGACGTGGCGGAGGAAGTGGGAAAATATTTTCCGTGAAAAATTTAGGCTATCAAACAGCGCAAAAAGTGGAAAACGGAAAAAAATTTCCTAGTTCCATGAAAAATCTTGTCAATCAAACAGGGCCTAAACACAGAAAACTGTATGGTCAGTGTGAAGTTGTAAACTGGACTAAAATACGACAGTTATTTATATTGAGTTTCTTGAATCATGTTTAGTTATGTCTAATCTAATATTTATATTAAATAAGTTTGATCGCATCGATGAAATGCAATTTGGTGAAGAAGAAAACTTTAAATTGACCACCCATTTTGAAGAGATTTTGGGCAGAATCAATCATTGTATTATGACAAAGTTGTGGTTAACATTAATTAAATGAAAATGATATAATGTTGTCTAGGGTTATGGTCTGGCACAAATCTTTCAAGAGTGGATATTAAGCACCGCTAAGCAAAAAATTTTCTATTCATAATAATGGGTATCGTCAAAGATTTCTGTATCTCAAAAGCAAAACACAAATCACTAGAAATGAGAATAATGTGGATTCGTTACAAGTTGTATATATATGTATTTTCTCGTAAAGAATAATGAAACTAGTGAACTGTGTTGAAAAACAACTGCCCTTCCTAAAAGAAGATTGACATTAATTATATTATATAACAGGAAAAAGATATTGAGACATGACAACCATAAATATTTGTTAGCCTCTAAAAACAAATGAAAATGGACCATAAACATGTCTTGCAACATGACAACTTGATATGACCCAATGGCTTTTATCGAATCCAAAAAATGAACCTAATGGAAAATCAAAAAATGGTGCATAGATAGTAAAGAATTTTCAGGCACTTTAGACTTGTATAGAAGTTGTGCCTTAAGTTCTTACCTTTTCTATACGATCATAAAATTACAGACTTTAGATATTTAGGTTCGATTATTAATCAGACATGAGAAATGGAAGGAATATAATGCACAAAAATAGAGACAATTTACAAGAAATCTGCGCGATAAGAAAATTCAGAAATTTTACATGATGGTTTAGCCCCTACTTGTCTTCCATTTTTTCAAAAAAATAAAAAATAAAAAAATTCTACATATTAATTTTCAACCATATATTCACAAAATGAAATATTCTACACGTAAACTCAAATTTTTTCCCGTACTTCCTAATCACACAATCTCCTAAAATTCACTATTCAAAACAATGTTTTTCGTAAAAAATGGTTACCAGACAAGGACTAAGTGGCTAAAACACGTTTTGAATAGATTGAAAGAGATCATATAAGTTAAAATAGATAATGTCGACAAAAGTTCATTTGCAATGCAACATGTTCAAGATTGTCTAGATGAAGAGAAATAAGTAGACATCTATTCTGAAAAGAAAAAAGTAGACATCTATTCAGCCCCTGTTTGAGCCACGTTAAAATTTTTCGTTTTCATTCTTCTACTCATTTTCAACCACACATTTTCAATAAAATAATATTTTCCATCATATATCAATAAATTTTCCTTCTTTTTCAACCACGCATTCTCCATCAATCTACTATTACAAAATGTATTCTTCCAAAATAATGTGGCTCAAACACCAGTGTCAACATAATTTAATACTTCTATCTTTTTCTATCCCCTTTTTCATTTTCCTCACTTTTTTATTATTTTTATCTCTCTTTTTTTCTCACGTTTCTTATTTTTTAAATAAATATTAGAAATGAAATTTAAATTATGAAGATAAATCGTCCATTAATTAGATATTAATAAGTCTTTCTATTTAGATTTCACCTTCACTGCAGCCATAAAATACATTGAAGATGCTGGATATTATTCTCATCTCAACCCTACTCAATACACTCCATAAACATATTATAATATTCATTTCATATTGGTCTATTTTAGTGCTAGGAATCTAGGACGCTAGACAAGACTTTTAGGCTTTATATATTATAATTCCATCGTGTCGGTCATTGTTGCATTCATATTGGGTTTAATAATAATGGTTTGCTTGAAGAATTGCAAACATCATAATTTATAACACTCTTTTATGATATTCGCTACGATTTTTTCACCCCCACAAATAAATCTAGTATTCGATCCCAAGTCATTCTTTACTATCTATGTACAAGCACAAAGTGAAATAGTTACACCTCAATTTATAGATATTTAAATGAGCTTAATCTGTTGGTTGCATTCGTAATTTCTATATAAGCGTCTCTTTATTCAAAATTAAAATTTTGCGTATATCTAAAAACCATATTGATCTTTATTCGTGCAGATACTTCTAAATAAGCGTCTCTTTATTCAAAATTAAAATTTTGCGTATATCTAAAAACCATATTGATCTTTATTCGTGCAGGTACCCATTAACTCTCAAAATTCCATTAATGTACCCCACATGAATGTACACAAAATTTGTATTGCTACTTGAGAAAGCTTGAGTCAAAAATTACAATGTTAGACAAAACTACACGGGGTTCATTAGCCAGATTTCGAGGAATGATGCCCAATATTGCATCATTATCAAAGTACAATTAGTGATGTCAAAAAAGTTCGGACGGTTCGGGCTCGGCCTGGAAAAAGCCCGAACCGCCGGGCCAGCTCGTGACTCGGTGGCATCAAGCCCGAGCTCGTCACCGGCCCATGTCAGGGGCCGGGCCGGGCCGAGTTGAGTTGTTTTTTTTTTTAATTTAAGTTTGGATGCATTTTTTTATAGTGGAAATTACACCACACCCTATCTTTGGAGATATCAATTTTAAAATCAAGTGGGATACTTTTTCTTTCAAAAATCAGAAGTTTTATTTTAATTAATATTTTTATAAAATAATTATATTTAC